CAGCCCTAAAGTCCCCGCCATATCTGCCCCTCCCTGTTACGACCGTGATGCTCCGGCCCACTCTCTTGGAGAGTCATGAACCAATTAAGCGAACTAATTGTCTCCTGCAAACTCCACTCCCCTTCTGCTGCTCTGTTATTCCCTCTGGGAGGGGCCAATCACTGTTCACCAGTGGCCTTACTTCCAAGTCGACCCCTGTTCTTTAGCTATTCCCTTCGCCTGGCAACTCTGCGCATGCGCACACTGGGAACAGGCTCCAACTATTTGTCTGTCTCACTAATGTCTGACTCTGAAAGCAGCTGATAACTGGTAGATGGCGCTGGCCCCCTCTCTGCCTCTGACACAGAGCCCTCATCAGAGCCTTCCCCAGACTCCAGGACTGGTCCATGTTCCTCCCCAACCTCCTCACTGTCCGAATCTGCTGCCAGCTCTGAAGGCCATTGGAGGGTCACAACACACATGGCTATGGCACTAAGAGAACTATGGACTTAGTCCCACAATGCAGTGGCCCCCAACCTTTTGGGCTACATGGACCGGCAGCAGCGCATGGTGGCATGCAGAGGTGGGTGGGGACGACAACAGGTTTGCACTCTCAACTTAATCAGGTGCATGTGCAAATGAAGCTTCAGATGCTTACCCACCACTTGTGTGGCCCTGTTCCCAACAGGCTGTGGATCAGGGGTTGGGGACCTTTGCTATAATGGTGATGTGATTTCTGTTGTCTTTCAGATAATTGCCTATCAACCCTATGGGAAATCGGTGGACTGGTGGGCCTTTGGCGTCTTGCTCTATGAGATGTTGGCGGGACAGGTAATCCAGGCTTATGCTGTGGGGGGGGAGGGGGTTGCCTTTGAGGTGGAGCATCCCCAGAGCTCCCTAGGAAACAGAGTGGGTGCCTCTGAAGCCCCTTCCTCTTCTGCTCCCCAATTACACAGGCACCTTTTGAAGGAGAAGATGAAGATGAGCTTTTCCAGTCGATCATGGAGCACAATGTGGCCTATCCCAAATCCATGAGCAAAGAAGCAGTGGCCATCTGCAAGGGGGTGAGTGACACCTTCAGCTCCCTGGGGTTGGGGAGGAGGGAGCACATTTGTCCCCACATTCATAGCATAGGAGGGGCTACGTTGCGGATAGGTGGCAGCAGCTATGATGGGGTGCCATGACACAGGAGGGACATGGCACTGAATTTCCCACTGAGCCCTTCTCTGAGTGCCACAAGTTGAGCTTTCTGCAGCGGTGAAATTCAGCAGGTTCTCACAGTTTCTGGAAGGGAGCAGAAATTTTGAGTAGTTAGAGAACCGGCAAATAGCACCTCTGGCTGGCCCCAGTGGGGTGGGAATGGAGATTTTACAATATCCTTCCCCCAGGAGAGGGGAGGAAATAGGGATTTTGCAGTATCCTCCCCCTGCCACGGCCACCAAGCAATACCCACAGAACCGGTAGTAAAAAAATCGGAATTTCACTACTGGCCTACTGGCTCCATTTCCTCATTCCCAGACTATTGGAGCTGCTTTATTGGACTGCCATTGTCTGTCTTCTTTTTCTGCATCCTGTTGCAAATGAAACCATCGCATGTGCAAGACTGATGGGGCTCTGAAGTACTACTGTATGAGGCTTCAGCTGGATTTATGGCTGGGACAAGAGCTCCGTGGCATTTCCTTGGTTGAGCTTGAACAGGATAAAAACACAGCTCAAGGCTCTTACGGTGGAAATCCCAGTGCCGAATGAAATATATTCCTCTTCTCCCTTTGGATTGGGCAGAGCAGATGGGTTAGAATTTTTCAGAAAATGTCTCACTTAATAGCAACCAGAATGATTAGGAGACGGGCAGGATGGAGGCTGGAAGGGAACAGCTAAAGCTGAAGCCAAACTATTTTTCTCTCTTGTTGTCAGCAAAAGTAATGAGGGGGTCTCGCTGAGTCCTTCCACCCGTTAAGTAATTGACAGCGTAAAGGCTAAGTAATCCTGAAATAACCTCAGTAATTGAAGTCCAACACACTGTGACTGACTTGGGTTTTCTTTTAGATCCAGCCACGCTTCCCCCTCCTGCCCTCCATATGCACCAGCGACCTTCTCTTGCTGGAAGGTCAGAGGAAGTTCCACCATTGGGCTTCCTCCCAGCGCTCCCCCGCCCCATTCCCACAAGTCAATTCTGTGCAGCCCCAGGGTCCCACCAATCTGTGGTGGGGAAAAGCTGCTCTGCAGGGGCTGGATTTGGGGGAGGCCTGTGAGGCCCCTTGTGGGTTGTTGGGCAGTTGACCTTCTCAGAAAGGAGTGTTCTTGTGCCTCCTTTTTCTCCCTCTCAGATGCATTCAAGTCATTGCTCCAATAATGGAGAAAATTCGTAGCTGAGGGTGACATGAGGGGTCCTTGGTGCTCTCTGAGCTTGGTGGATTTTTTGCAGATGTTTCATTACCCAAACTAGGTAACATCATCAGGGCTATTGCTAGTCATTGCTCCTTCCATCATTCATTCATTCATTCATATATTCATTCATTCATTCATTCATTCATTCATTCATTCATTCATTCATTCATTCATTCATTCTATCTCTGTCCAATTGCTCTAGCCCTCTTTCTTAAAAGCAACACAGGGAATCCCAGAGTGATCAGTTCTTGCTCCAAATGGCCCTCTTTCTCAATCCCCCCACTCATCTCTTCTTGGCCCTGACAAATTTGTATGGGCAGGAAAGAAGCCGAGAGTAAAGATGAAAATAATGCAAGATGTACGTGAGAGAGGAGGCTTGAAACTACCTAACTTAAAACTATATTATGATGCAGTGGCACTATCTATAATTAGTGATTGGACTCATTTAACTAATGATAGAATATTGAATATTGAGGGACACGATCTGGTATATGGTTGGCATGCTTACCTGTTATTCAACAAAAAATTGGACAAGAATTTTAAAAGTCATATTTTAAGAAATGCTTTACTGCGGGTCTGGAAAAAATACCAATATAAATTAGTATTTAGTATTTAGTATTTTATTAATAC